TCACGAAAGCTTTAAATCGAAATTTATAGTTTTAGTTTAGATGAACACCACCGCATCGATGCACCGTTGAGCAGGAAGTCACTTTCACTTCAGAATCTTAAGGGATCTGATGAGCTAATAAACTTGTTTTTGTCACATGTCCAGTCGACGAGAGTCGTGCACGTGCTCGGGTGTCTGGTGTGGATCAGAGAGCGAGAGAGCAGCCCCCTTTCGTGGAAGTTCACCCCTCCGCCGAAGCTGCGATTTCAGTGTCAGCGCAGGCGGATGAGATGACGGCGGCAGCTGCTGTGGGATGATGGGTAATGTCTAAGGGGCCCGTCCAAGTCACCAGCAAGTCCCTCACTCCCGGGGCCCGATCTCAACCATCTCCCTCCCTGGGGAGTGTTTCGGAGAGGTGCGTTGGCAGGGAGTCGGAGTGAGAAGGGATAAGTGGGAGGCATGGACAGGTCCGTGGTGAATCTGGATCAGGAGTCGGAAACGCGCGGCTCTGTAAGGACTTCTGCTTCGTGGTGTTAATAAGGACCCCCCCCCCCCGTCTCGCATTCACCCACAGTGCATTGCAGCGGCTCTTGTTGTTTTAATTGCCGACCCCTGATTAAGATTCCATCAACCCCGTTTGTCCTCTCGTCTCTGAAGAAGGCCCGTTGCCTGAAACGTCAGCCTGCTCGGTATTATTCTCGGAGGAGGATTTGCACGTGCGCATAGGCCGCTGGCTTCCACGCGTGGGCAACTTGCATCGGCACTCCGTCGCGACCGCTCCACTCCAGCCAGGGGCACCCCGAGTGGCAGCGGTCCCCGTGGGCTCGAGGGTGGACGCTGCCCCGGCTTGCAAGCGATCATTCGTCGTCTGCCGCGAGTCGGGGAGCGATGTCACCGTGAGGTGTCGCTGCAATGAGTGATTTGCAGGAGAGATCTGGGGGGTGGTTGGCGTAGATCGCCTAAATATAAATGCGTCGTTAAAACCCGCCACCACCCGAGGCAGGCAACTAGTAAGGGTGTCACGTGAACAAAACGTGACAGTTACTAGTTCAGCACACCGGTGTGTTGGAGACTAAACCCATAAACATTTACTTTATATTTAGGAAAAAAAACCTTTATTATGGATAGTACCGGTCGTGAACAGCAGGTTGTTGTTCTGTCTCCCAACGGTCTCCACGACGACGTTCAATTCGTAAGTGCCGTGAAGAAGGGTGATCGCCTGAAACGTCGTCTCGTATACATTATTCTCATGTGAAGGCCACAGTGGTGATTAACTAACGTGTAGCAGAGGCTGACGGTTCGAATCCAGCGGCCGTCTTGGTTATCACTGCAGCGTGTGTGTGTCTGTGTGTGAACCCTACCGGTGGTGTAGCGGTTAGCGCTACGCTGCGCTATGAGCCCGGCGACCCGAGTTCGATTCGCAGCTCGCGGTCAACACCGGCTACGATTATCTGTACCGGTCCTGGGCCTCCGCTAGGTCGACTAAGCCTCAAATGAGTATCTGGTGCGGTGTGTAAATATCGCCACCGGGGAGACAAAGGCGGTCGGGCGTGGTGCTGGCCACCCACCCCCTCGTGTGCCGTGCCGGCCCTCTTAGGTGGTGCTACTCGCTAACGGCGCTTGCCCCAACAGTCTGTTACAGGCTGTATGCGGGGGGTGGGGTGGGGTCTTTGTGAACCGTGACCCCCACGCTCCCGTCTGCTTCACGAAGATCCCGTGACGTCGTTCGGCCGTTGTGACCCGGCGTGACGCGGTCCGCGTTGTCGAAATAGTCCCCGCGAAACGACTCGGAATGGCATCTCGCAGACACACGCAGACACACACATGCGCACGCACACACATGCACACACGCACGCACATGCACACACACATGCACACACATGCACACGCACACACGCGCGCACACGCACGCACACACACGCACGCACACGCACACACGCACACACACACGCACACAGAGGCACCATCGCCAACTGCTGCGAAACAATTTGGCAGGACCCTCCTGGTGGCGCTGCGGTGGCGAGATGTTAACTCCCTCGCCTGGTACACAGGAGGTCGTAGGTTCGATCCTGACCCTGACGCCTGCTGTATGTTTGGAGTTTGCGTGTCTCTCGTCACGTGGATTTTTTCTCCGGTCCCTCTAGTTGTTCCCCCCCCCCTACACGTTTAGAAACACGCGTTTAGAGCATTCGGCTGATATCACTTTCCACGTGACAAACCACTTCGTCGGATTATCAGTTGTGATGGCCATGTCGCTTGAGATAAAAGAGCTGGATTACAAACTCAGTAGTGGGCCTTACCTTGTAAAATAAAATAAAAAAGAGTGTAATTAAGACAAAGAGTGACGAGACTGGGTGATGCCTTCATGAGTCAAATCCGCGGAATACGAGGGTCAGGTTCTTGGGAATCTGCGCGAAAATTGAAAAACAAACGTCGATGGTGTTCTGTACGTTTTGGGAAACAGGGGCATGGGTGGGTGGTGAGCTTCCCGTGTCCGAGTGAACGTACCGGAGAAATTAAAATGTATCATGACATTAATCCTGCACAGTTACATCCCCATAATGTACTTAATTAAATTGTCCAACAGTACAAAAACATAACAACACGAATAATGCAACAAAATAGAATACGTGAACAAAGTGAAACGCATCCACACACGTTTATACCGTGAATTTGGAAGCTTTATTCACCTCGACACATCAACGTTCAAGAGACGCCGTCTCGAGGTCCCACACGGCAAGGCCGTCTTGCTTGTGAGTGCTACACACGGTGGCGTTAGTGCGCCACACACAGACCCCACGATTCACCCACCCAGCAAGTCCCCATGATGCCACTTTACCAATTCGCGAATAGTCAAGGGTGGCGGCGGGAGGGGGGGTGGGAAGGGCGCGAAATTTGAAATGGTATACAGTACACATTTATTTTTTAAAACCGCGAATAAACGAATTTCGCGAGGGGAAAAAAATATCCGCGAAAGAAAACGATTTAGTGGATTGATAAGAGTTACAAAAGCGTGTTGAGTTCGTTCTGCGTTCCAGAATCAATTCGATACCGCCGCCTTGTGATGGAGTGGGGTACAGCGGCAGTGGCCCGGATTCACACTCAAACAATTCGAGTTGGCTGTGTGTGTCGGGTGGTGGGGGGTTCTAACGACACATTTATATATTTACGCGATCTAAGCCCAAGAAAAACCTCTATTATGGATGATATTGGTCGCGAAAACCTACTACGTGTTAAACTGCTTTATATAGCCACTGCTGGCGGATGAGGGCCTCGAATAACAATTAAAGGAAATCTTCTTGGTTCTTTCGGTAAAGTCACGTATAATGGAAATAATAAAATAATAAAAATAAAACATAAGTAATATATATAAAAATAAAACATAATAAAGTAATATAATATATTATGTTTTATTTTTCGTATTTTATTATTTCCATTCTACGTGACTTTACCGAAAGAACCAAGAAGATGAATCCCTGCAGTCTCGAAAGCTTTAAATCGAAAAATAAATGAAACTGAACTAAAAGGGAGCGCGATTGCGCCTTACAAAGAGATGCGTCAACATCGATCTCTGTCGAGGAGGCTCGTGAAGGACATTACCGGGCGGTGCCAGGCTAGGTGCACTTTGAGGTCACCTGGGAAATTGAAAGGCAGTCGCTTTTGGCCTCGTTGTCCATGCCAGTGCGTCGTGGAAGAGACGAGAGTGCCCACAATTTGCCCCACCGCACGCGGCCTGCAACATCGACCGCCTGTGGTGGACAGAGTTGCGGCGTTAACTGCTCGACCCTGACCCCCCCCCCCCATCCTCGTCGTGGGGGCCAGCGTGGAAGGGTTGGACCATCCGCCAGCAGGGGGCGAGGACGAGCCGTTGCAGGGCTGCGTCTCCCCCTCGAGCACGCGCGCGAAGCTGCAGATGCCGGCCGAGTCCACGAGGTGGCAGCACCTCCTCCACAATGGACAGCAACAAGACAAAGGTCGCCCGCATAGCCTTCGACAGGCGATTGGGGCAAGTGCCGTTAGCGAGGAGCACCTATGAAGGCCGGCACGGCGCACGAGGGGGTGGGCAGCACCACGCCCGGCCGCCTTTGTCTCCCTCGTGGCGATGTTTTACGCGCAGCATCAGCTACTGAGTCGGCATAAGGGAGGGGGGCCCAGGACGGGTTGAAATCGGATCGGGAATCGAACTCGGGTGGCCGGGTTCGATGCGTCGCCTGTTTTTTTTATTTTTTCCCCACGTGAAAGCCGCCCGGTGTTGTTGACACGTCACGTGTCGCGTTGTCTTCTCGTTGGCTCGCAGCAGCAGCAGCATCACCAAACCATTTGTTATTTTTTTATTCGAATCGGTGTCAACTAGGGGTGAAGTTCACTTCAAGGTGGCTTATGCAACTTGGCCGCTCGGGTGAAGAGTAGAAACAAGCTGATGGAAGAATCAACAAGAGAACGTCTCAGGGAGCGTGGTAACTCACTAATGAAATGTCCCCTTCTTACCCTCCCATCACGGTCCAGTGTCCCGCCCCGACATCGCCCGGCGATTGCGACCCCTCCCCCTTGAGCACCTGGGACCCCCCTCGCCCCCACCCCCTCGTCCCCACCCCCCTCGTCCCCACCCCCTCGCCCCCACCCCCCTCGCCCCCACCCCCCTCGCCCCCACCCCCTGGTCCCCACCCCCCTCGCCCCCACCCGCCCCCACCCCCCTCATCCCCACCCCCTCGTCCCCACCCCCCTCGCCCCCACTGCTTTGGAGCGTGAGACGTGAGACCGTCTCCCCCACACCCCCGCCCTTCTTCCCCCCCTTCCCCCCCCCACCACCGCTTTGGCAAGTGCGACCGTGCCCCCCCCCCCCACCGCTTTATCACGTGGGCACGTACCCCCCCTTCCCCCCCACCGCTTTGGCCAGTGGGCACGTACCCTCCCCCACCGTCCCCCCACCGCTCCTCTCCGCGCAGCTGCACCGCCTGCGCACCCGCGATAGCCGAGGGACGGCGCGCGCGCCACCGCTCGTGCCCCCCCCACCCCCCCCCCCCCCCGCGAGACGAGGCCGGCCGTTGCGAGGCGGGTAGAGACGCAGCGACCCCTCGCTGCCATGGAGCGCCCGGGTCGAGGTTCGACTCCTGCCCCTGGGGGTGTCCCCGGTAAGTCGGCACACACCGACACGCCCGTGCACGCAGGTACCACGAAACGTCGCTCGTTCTAAACGCGTTTCTTACACGTCCCGTCAGTGGCGCGCGCGGCCTTCTGGGATCGCTTACTTATCAGCAGCGTTTGTTTCGAGACAAGGCGAAGACTCTGGACAGGGCTCGTCACGCAGTGTCTCATCAGCAGGCTCCGGCTTGCTTCACTCCCTGCTCTAGTGGCCATCGAGGCGATGTTCGTGTCACATGCACAACGTTGAGCCAGCGGTGGGAAATTCCACATTCCTCTGGCGGGTGATGTTTATCCACAGAGACAAGCAGTTGGTCTGCGCCAGAAGTGCGGTAACTATTTTATCGACACCGGAGAGATGATGGGGCGAGTCAGCTCCTCTCAGCCAGGATGCGAGCTCTCAACCCTGTATGCATGTTGAACTTCTCTTGCACCGTACAGAGCCAACTGGTCCTCTTCCGCTGAGCCACCCGGCCAGACGCGGAACTCATGGGGAAACTGATATCGCGCTAATCGTCATATCGCGATATTTCATATCGTGGCAACCTTCCCATGATATTCTCCGGGTTTTGTTTTGTACATCAGAGGTGGCAACCCAACGTGCAGGACGGATTCAAGCCCCTGTCCTCCCTCTGGTCGTCACTGCTCTCTTCTGCTGCTCCTACTGCCTCATTGTGTTCACGGGACACGCAATTGCGGAGTTCCCTTACAAGAACGAGTTTGTTCGAGACGAAGGCGAGAGTTAACACCCTTGACACTTTGGACATGAGTTCGAATGCACACCACGGCGAGCACGAGTGGCGAGTCGGGTTGCCACCCATCCCGTTTTTATCCCAGGATCGTACTCTCGTTGAGGGGGCAATTGTTTACTGTTTTGGGAGATTTCACGGGACAGTTAACAAATTCCGATTGTTTTTTCAATTGCTCAATTATAACAACAACAACGTACCACTTAAGACCGTGCATTCACATGCAGTAGTCCTCCCCTCTCCTTGATATTGTGAGATATTTCCTCCTCCCATGATATGTCCAGTTTTGATATCAGAGGTGGCAACCCCAGTGGTGAGTGACATCTGACTCAGGCCTGGATTACCCACCACTCACGCAGAGTGGCTCCTCCTGCACACCAGGGGCAGCCGATGTTAACTCGGAACTCAGAAGAAACACTCTCGTAGGTGGAACACACCACGTTGCTACGATGTCGCAGTCTTCTTGTTGTTGTTGTTGCCGTACGTCTGATGATGTCGACGCAGAGAGACCAGGTACTGCAAGTTCACATTCGGGCGGTCAATCCCAGATAAGCGCGGCAGGAATGACAGAGCTGTTGCGAATCGTCGCCGCGACGTCTCCTTCGGCGTCGGTGTGGTCGTGATACGATTCTTGTAACTCCCCCACCACCACCACCCCCACCACTCCTCGCAAGGTGCCGGTGGGACGCCGCCGCTGCGGCTGAGCGCGTGGGGCCCGTGGCAGTGCCACTGCGAGGCGGGCACGCAGGCGCGCTGGCGCCACGTGCTCCGGGCGCAGGTCACGCGGCCCGCGCGGCCCCCGCAGCTGGTGCAGGAGGCGGCGTGCAACCTGCAGCAGTGCACCCGCTGCACGGCGCGAGACTGCCGCCTGCTGCCGCACAAGCGCGCCGTCGGCTTCTGAGCACCGCCTCCCCCACACATTCATCCTCCCCCCCAACCCTCTCCTGCCCCCACCCTCCTCCCCCCACCCCTCTCCTGCCCCCACCCCTCCTCTCCCCCAACCGTCTCTTGCCCCCACCCCTCCTCCCCCACCCCGTCCTCCCCCCCAACCCCTCCTCCCCCCACCCCTCCTCCCCTCTCCCCCAGCCCCTCTCCTGCCCCCAACCTCCCTCCCCCCCAACCGTCGTCTGGCCCCAACCCCCGTCCTCCCCCACCCCCTCCTCCCCCCAACCGTATCTTGCCCCCACCCCTCCTTCCCCCACCCCTCCTCCCCCACCCCTCCTCCCCCCAACCGTCCTGTGCCCCCACCCCCTCCTCCCCCCACCCCTCCTCCCCCCCACCCCTCCTCCCCCCACCCCTCCTCCCCCCCAACCCTCTCCTGCCCCACCCCTCCTCCCCCCACCCCTCCTCCCCCCCAACCCTCTCCTGCCCCCACCCCTCCTCTCCCGCCCCCCCGCTGTGTGGTGCCCTGACCTGCCAGACAAATATTAAAATCTGATTTAAAATACACCAAGTAATTGTAGTAGGATGAGGCTTTCGCGACCAGTGTTATTCATAATAGAAGTTGTGGGTTAGATCGCGCAAATATAAATGTGTCGTTAAAGCCGCCACCACCCGACACAGCCAATTAATAAAGTTTGTCACGTAAACCAAACGTGTCAATTCGTCACCGGTACAGCACACCGTTGCCTTAGAGAGTACACCCACAAATCTGTCTGTCGCCTGATGATGCTAGTTGTAATTACTGGCGAAACGTCGCACTCAAATGGCAAACGTTGTGGATTTACGTGCCAAACCATACGAATTAGCTGTGCCGGGTGGTGGCGGGTTTCACGACACAAAAAACCTCTTATGGACGATTTTAAACATTACGGCTCAGACATATGTGTGTATGTTGAATTTCTCTCGCACCATCCGTAGCCGACCGTGCTAATCAAGGGGTGGGGGTGTGAGTGAGTGGGGGGGGGGGTGAGTGAGTGGGGGGGGTGTATAGTTACGACCCCTCGTGTGAATAAATGACGTGGCCACGCGCGAGATTGCGACTCACGCCGACAGTAGTCGACAAGACCGACGGTGGTTGTTGCTATTGTCACAGAGCCGGAGGTAAATAGCAATAGATAAGGCTCGTGGTGATTAGCGCTATTGGCTGCCACCGAGGGCGCAAATCGACGGGGCTGGCGGCGGCAGCAGTAGCAGCGACAGCGATCTGGTTACCCAGTAGCGCAGCGATGAGGCTATCAGCAGAGAGGATGGCGACTTCGCGCGGGGCTATTGATGCACGACCGGCACAGCGATGCAGAACAACACAAAGTAGCCGCGACACGTTCGTCAGTAACACCGCGCGTGTGTGTGTATGTGTGTGTATGTGTGTGTATTTGTGTGTATGTGTGTGTATGCGTGTGTATGTGTGTGTATGTGTGTGTGTATGTGTGTATGTGTGCGTGTGTGTGTGTTAATGTGTGTGTATGTGGGTGTATGTGTGTATGTGTGTGTAGGAGCGATAGTTTAGCGGTTATCGCGCTGCACTATGAACCCGGGTTCGATTCCCGCTCACGGCCAACACCGGTGACGATTTTCTGAACCGGTCCGGGGCATCCCCTAGGTCGACTCAGCCTCAAATAAGTACCTAGTGTGGTGTGTAAACATCGCCACTAGGGAGACAAAGGCGGCCGGGCGTGGTGCTGGCCACCGACCCCCTTCGTGTACCGTGCCGGACTTCATAGGTGCTCGCTAACAGCACTTGCCCCAACAGTCTGTTCAGGCGATACGGGGGATCTTTGTCTTTGGTTTTAAAAATTAAAAATAAAATATATATATATAGCATCGGCGGCGTTTCGTGCGATGGCCCTACTTCAGAGCACAGCTCTAACGGAGGCCCCCATCTCCTTGTCTCTCGGCGTGAGTGAACAACTCAGCGGCGGCTTGCGGGTCGAAACGGCAACCCGTGTCACGTGGTCACAGCGAGACCGCTCGTGCGCCTGGCGACTTCAATGTGTCTGCCGGCTGGTGGGAGGAGGGCATTTTGACACGGACGTGGCCCCACATCATAACGTGGCCGAACCAAAAATAATAAAAAATATATTATTATCAGAAGGCAAGAAGAGCTTGGGAAAAAGAGACGACAGAAGGGGGGGGGGGTATCTGGTGAGATCCGGTGAAGTCGGCGAATTCAGGGCGACTTGGTCGTCTGCCACCACCACCACCACGACTATCACCACCACCGTCAATGTCACTGCCACCACCGTCAATGTCACTGCCACCACCGCCACCACGACTATCACCACCCCCGTCAATGTTACTGCCACCACCGCCACCACGACTATCACCACCGCCGTCAATGTTACTGCCACCGCCACCGCCACGACTATCACCGCCGTCAATGTCACTGCCACCACCACCACCACGACTATCACCACCGCCGTCAATGTCACTGCCATCACCAACACCACCACCACCACCGTCACGTGGCGAACGCGGGCACCGGCCGCTCTCCGCCGCCGTCGGGGACGTCTTGCGTGCCACAGCTGACGGACGGCACGGCGACCTGCACGGCCCTCCTCCTCCTCCTCCGCCGGTGTCGGCAGCGCAGCAGCGCCCTGGCGACCTCGGCGCGCAGCTCGGCGGAGCGCAGCCCGTAGACGAGCGCGTTCACCACGGGCACGCCGCACGCGTTCGCCGCCTGCAGCACCGTCTTGGCCGCCACGACGACGCGCAGCGCCGGGGGGAGCTCCTCCTCCGCCGTGTGGCTCAGCCGCTCGGGCGCCTGGAACTCGGCCACCTCAAGGAGGAAGATGGCCATGCCCGTGGCGTAGGAGACGGCGAGCAGCGCGCCGTGCGTCCAGCACGTGTGCAGCGCCTTGCGGCGGGACGGCCCCGGCCTCGAGCGCTCGCCGGCTCCGGCGCCGGACATCGACGCCCGCATCACCTACAGGTGATAGGGGGCCGGCCATAAATGACGTCGCGCGATTTTGGACGATTTTTGACCCCCCCCCAAACCCTCGTCACACGGCGTCACAAAAAGTCAACCTCCCCCCTTAAATATGACGTCACAAAGCTCTGCCCCCCCCCCCCCCCACAAAACCATATTTCCATTTTGAAAATAAAACATTCTTCACATCGCTTTAAACTATTGCATTGTAGTGCGTATTTAATGTGGCGCTGCACTCTGATGTAGGAGTGTTGTTATAACAATTCTATATTTATTTAAAGTTGCGCATTTTGACGTGATGTCACATTTTCAAATCCCCCCCCCCCCTCGTCATACACCGTCACAAATGTCTGACCCCCCCCCCCTAGGTGCGTGACGTCATTTATGGACGATCCCTAATAACATGTAAAAATCTCAACCGGTCTAACTGTAAAGCCGTTTTTTTATTCACTCAGTGAGGCCCACTTTGAACTGTGTAGATTCATTTTTTCAAAAGCGACCTGGCCATGATAAGTGATAGCCCAACGAAGTGGCTTCTCATCACGTGGACATGCATAGCAGCCACACGCTCTAAACGCGCTGTGATGTTGGTTCTAAAAATGTGGAGGAAAAACCGGAGGACCCGGAGAAAAATCCCCGCGACCACGGGGAGAGAGAGACACGCAGACTCCAAATATACAGCAGCAGGCGTCAGGGATGGGATCGACCCCACGACCTGCTGCATACCAGGCGAGATAGTTAACATCTCGCCACTGTGGCGCTCCTACTTGTAACTTGCCGTCACGCAGTATTCACTCGGTCTCGACAAGAGAGAGAGCGAGGAACCACAGCAGGGAAAGGCAGCAGCAGCAGCCACGCGGGGAGAAGCCGGCGCTCCGAACGCTTTGCGAGAAGCACAAAGAACAAAGCAAGCAACAGAAATAATGAGGATCCCTTGTGGAACGGCTCACTGCACTGTGGAGCCGTTCCACAACGACGATTCTGCACCACTCGCCAGCGAAATACATCCCAGTGGGTGGGGGGCGATCTTCAGCGTGTCGGGTTCACGGCCCGGTGAGGGGACGACGCGCAAACGGCGTTGGCCGCTAGCACACACACACACACACTCGCACACACACGCTAGCACACACACACTCGCACACACGCTCGCACACACACTCATGCACACATTCACGTACACACACAAAGATCCCCCGTATAGCCTGAACAGACTGTAGGGGCAAGTGCTGTTAGCGTGCACCTATGAAGGCCGGAACGGTACACGAGGGGGTGGGTGGCCAGCACCACGCCCGACCGCCTACGTACACACACACGCACGCTCGCACACACACTCACGCACACATACACACACTCGCACACACTCTCACACACGCGCACACTCACGCACACACACGCACACACACTCGCACACACACACGCACACGCTCGCACACACACACACTCACGCACACACTCGCGCACACATGGACACACATGGACACACACGCTCACACATGGACACACACGCTCACGCGCTCACGCACACGCACACACACTCGCACACACACACACATGAACACACTCGCTCTCACACACACACACTCACGCACACGCACGGCAGCGAGGAAGGCAGCGCCCGAGTGTCGCGACGGAGCGTCGGCCTTGCCCAGACCACCAGCTCACGTGGGAGCCCTTGGGGGGTGGAGTGGGGGGTGGGGTTTCCACGTCACCTTGGCGTAGGTGAAGGTGCTGAGCAGCAGGAAGGCGGTGGACATGACTCCGGTTAAGGCCGAATCGAAGGCGACGTCCGAGGACGAGCTGTGGCACGAGGCGACGGCCAGCGACATGTGGTCGCACATGAGGCCCGGCAGGCGCGGGGGTCGGGGGGGCCGCGTGGAGGGGCCCCCCTCGGAGCCTCCGGGGGGGGTGCAGGCGCGCAGGTGCAGAGAGGCGCCCAGGAAGGAGGCGGCGACGGCGAGGGACGCCGTCCAGCCCACCGCCAGCGCCACGCAGGTGCCGCGGCCGCCGTGCGTGCAGCGGAGGTAGTGGAAGGGGTGGCAGATGGCCAGGTACCTGGGTCAGGTGCGACGCGGAGGGTTGGGGGAGGGGGGGTTCGTGGCGACGGTGGCACCGCGGCGAGCTTACGGCGAGATGTCCGACGTTTCGCTCCACGTGCCGAGAG